CCTCCTGCTCAGCCTTCTAAACTGCTGGGATTACAGGAGTGCACCGCCAAGCCTGGCTACATTTTCTTGCAATACATTGGGCAAGGCCCTGAGAATGTTAAAGGATGATGCAATAATGACCATTATTTTATTTACCATATCGTCTGCTAGGGATTTCATAATTCCTCCATTTTCTGGTGATTTTTGCCTTATTTAGTAAACTTGGAAACAAATGATGAACAGTGTTGAAATAATATGTAGGATAAGTAATGGCAAAATGTTCCAAAACATAGGGAAATTAAGATTCTGAAGATGCTATAATATAAAACTGGACAAAAAGATCCAAAGGGACATGTGCTAATTTTAAGAGAGAGTGACTTTTACTTTATTTTATAAAATGTTTTCCCTTAGTTCTTTATAAGATCCCAGAAAAAGAGTAAGAGTCATGTGATATCATTCCTTAAAGGGCTTGAAGAAGAGCTCAAAAGTGAAAACTGGGTCCACTGGATACTGGCAGCATGAGGGTGAAGATATTCCATTTTAGTTTTAGTCTTAAATGTAGCCCTGTCCCAAGAGAAGATAAGGACTCAAGACCAGCAAAGTTCCATTCATTTATTTTGACAAAAATAAAGAAAGTATTAAAAAAAATTTAATAAAAAATCTTTCATTTCTATCACCAGGATCAAACTACATCTAAAGTCTGCTATAACCTTCAAAATATTCACTTTGCACATGCACACATACATATACACCTACCTGGGGAGTTCTCTGCTTGCTTGAGCATAAGCAGGATCACACTGTAGGCATAACAACCCTGTATCCTGCCTACCACTGTAGATTCTGGCCCCCTTACATGCCCACTTATGCAGATCTACCACACCCTGGTACTCCCAGGAATAAATGTTTACATCTACTTAACCATTTCCCTAGTAATGAACACTGAAGATAGCTCCTGGGTTTTTCTACTGCAGATATTACAGCCATGACTGTCCTGCTCATAACAGCTCAGACATGCTGAATAAGTCATCCTTTATCAACACAAACTTTATATTTAAAACAAAACAAAACCTCATGAGCCTTCTCAGCTCAGGACCTTTGTACCCACTGTTCCCTCTCTGGGAATGTGCTGTCCTGCACCTCTACTTGTCTTGGTCTCAGCTGAAATGACTTTCCCGGGGAGACCTCAGGACACAGCACTAGTGCCCTTCTGATCCTGCCACTCCTCCCTCCTAGCACTCACTGTGCTTTTTGAGGATACCCGCGTTAACGTCTGATGGCTCCGCTGCACTAGGCTCTAGAGGGCGGGGCCCATGCGGGACACTGGAGTTTTCACTGCAAGCCTTGCATAATGTGGAGGAGGGACCTGACCAACCTGCAGTGGACAAAGAATGCTACTCTGCCAGCTATCTCCTGAAGAGGAGCAACTGACCACTGCGCAATCACATGCTCTACAAGTTTTCAACAGCAAAACTGACTATACGTGTAACATGATCATTTCCTACAAGGGAAAACAGGCTGCTTACACCCTATTGGCAGGGTCTGAAGCCACATATCACCTTGCCTTTGGTTAAGAATTCTGTTCCTCTGATTATGGCTCACGGAAATACCATGGACACAAAGATTTCACTACAGCAATATTCTTCACTACCCATTTCATCATAAGGAAAACTGCAAATAATCTAGCTTTTCAATCAAGGGCCTCCTGAAAAAATGCACTGCTATATTTACACAATGGAACATTACAGCCATTAAAAATTTCTTAGCGGGGCTTGAGGTTATGGCTTAGTGCTTGCCTAGCACGTTTGAGGCACTGGGTTCAATCCTCAGGACCACATAAATTAATTAATTAAAGGTATTGTGTCCATCTATAACTAAAAATATGTATTTTTAAAATTTCTTAGGTATGTGTTAAAGGAGTCCCCCAGAGAATTATAAGTAAGTGACATAATAACATTTTCATGATAAACACTTTAGTGGAAAAGGTGTTACTGTACCATATCATCCCATTTTTATGAAATAACACAGGTGCGTGTATTTACTTATGTGGGTACTAACATCCACCAAAACACGTAGAGTGATTAACTACAAGTAGCAAATTCATAAATTCTTTATTTTCCTTTTTTTTATTTCAAAAATTTTTATAATTCATATGTACTTCTTTTTTCCCTCTGTACTAGGGTTTGAACCCAGGGCCTCATGCATTTAGGCAAAGGCTGTACCACTGAGCTAAATCCACAACCTTCTTCACTTTATTTAGGGTCTCAGTAAATTGCCCAGGTAGCCTCAAGCTTGCAATCCTCTTACTTCAGAAATTCTGAGCAGCTGGGATTACAGGAGTGTGTACCATGACCTGGCTCACATGCATTACTTTAAAAAAAATAAAATTGTATTTTAAAAAGGTTATCTTGGGCTGGAGATGTGGCTCAAGCAGTAGCGCACTCACCTGGCATGCGCAGGGCGCTGGGTTTGATCCTCAGCACCACATAAAAACAAAATAAAGACGTTGTGTCCACTGAAAACTAAAAAATAAATATTAAAAAAAAAAAAAGGCTATATTTACTCCCTGCTCCCCACCAACAAGATGGCCTGGCAAAATCAAGGGGGCAGCACATTTAGGTGATTTATTACTTCTAAGAAAAACTCTCATCCCAGTTTCTGATTCCTTGTTTCTCAATCACTGTCTTCCAGACACTTCCGAAAGGCATTGTCTCTACTTCAAACCATGCAGAGCTGCTCAGGAGCAAAGAGAAGGGAAGCCAAAGTTCATGAGGAGACTGAAACATCACTCCAGCAAAGCTCCTCAAGGAACTTGCCCTGGAAAGCATCTGCTACAGCCACTGCCCCAGCCCAGGCATCAGACTCCAAGACTCCCACCCACAGGTACGTTCCCTTTGTAGCAATGTTGTGAACACTCCCAAGGAGGACTCGAAGGGCAACAGTGAAGCACTGACAATACTCAGGAGCTATGGTTCTCAGCTCCTGCTTTAGACTGACCCCAAGAGCAAGTAAACAACAAAAGCGAAAGCCAGACTGCTGGGTTTTACCCAAGCCCTGCTGCTTTAGAATCGAGTGGGGTAGGCCTAGGAATTTTTTCTTAGACTTCAAGTGATTTTGATGCAGGCAACCCACACACCACCATTCAGCAATCATCTATCAACTGTTGGCTAGAAGGAACTGAGAAATACCTACTCCATCTGACTGCAATTATATGAGCATCAAAGTCAAGTGAAAAGGATGAAAGGTCTCCAACATAACCCAGACCACACTACCCTTTTGGTATTTTAACAAATCTCATCACTGAGAGACTCTTCTTTTTAACTTCATTAAATCATCTTCTCTTAAGTTACCGTCCGATTCTTTTATTTGATCTTTTGTGACCACTGGACTTAGGATATGTGATGAAGATGGAAAACGGGAACACTGCAAACAAAAGAAACACCAAGTGCTCCTGTGTGGCTAGCCACGAAGCCACAGAGCACCCTCCTGCGCTGGGCTGTCACACTGCCACCAGCTGGGTATAGGTCAGACCTCAGCAAGACGCTGCCCAGGGTCTATGTGCGTCCCCACCTGGCATCACACACTTAGCCCTATGCTCTGGGCAAGACTATCTTCTTTGTGACTTTGCTACCTGGGGAGGAAAAGTAGAATGTCATCCATGGGCATTTTTAGATGACAATCCCTACTGGATTACACAGAACCATGACCTCAACATTCTCGACTCACTAGCTTTCTTTCTAGACCTTTGGTGACTGAATTTGTGATAAAACTCTACCCTACCATAGAAAGTCACTAAAGCTTTGGCCTGTCACCTCAGTAGCAATGGAGTCACTGATTTCCTAAAAATGATATTCCTACTTAGTCACAAAAAGTTAGAATCATTTTCCTGTCATGGTGGTTTTAAAACACGGTCCCAAATTCTTTGATATGCCTCTCATCCAGAAGTAGGGTTCTACACATTGTGAATGTCCTAAAAGCCACTGAATTCTACATTTAAGATGGTTAAAATGGTGGACTTATATAAATTGAGTGGGGTGGGGTAAAGTACTGGGAATTGAACCCAGGGATTTGAACCCCAAGCTATACCCCAAAGTTCCTCCTTTCTTTAAGACAGGATCTAAGTTGCCCAGGCTGGCCTTGAACTTGCAATTCTCCTGCCTCAGATTTCCAAAGAGCTGGGATTACAGGTGTTACACCGTCACACCTAGCAATAATGTGATTTTTTTTTACTTCTAGGTAAGCAAAATTAAATGTAAGCTTCCATTATCTCCTTCCTTTGAATGAGAGCTGTGCCTAGCTTGCCCTGTAAAATAACAGAAGTGATACTGGCACTGGCATTAAGAAACTGGAAGGTGTTTCCATTTCCCATCTTCTAGGATGCTCCTTCTTAGAACCTAGCTATCATACCCTGAGAAAGTGTAAGCATTTCTTGGAGATTCACTAAGAGACGAACTGAGGTTCCCAGGACAAAAAGCCAGCTTAGCTTCCCGCTGACAGCCAGCACTGAATTATCAGCCACATGAGCCATTTTGAAAGTGGGTCCCCAAAGCTACATGGAGCAAAGGTAAACCACCCCTGCCAAGTCCTAACTCAATCACAGATTCATGAGCAAAATAAATGCCTAGTGATGTTCAAACCACCATTAAGTTTTGTGATAGTTTGTTACACAACAATGAATAGCAACCACTTCTACAAAATAAAAAGTGACCTCGTAAAACAGGTCAAAAATTCTGACCTGGTACCTTGTCGGCAGACTCTGGCAAGCCTAACAGTCAGCACTCGTCCAGTCTTTCTAATGTGTTTACCCCACACTCACGTCACTCAACCATGTCAGGAGTGAACCAGAAGACATTTGACTTTCTTGCTAAGTATTGAAAAAGGAAAGGTGGGGTGGGGCAAGAAGATATAGGATACAAAATCGTGTAGACTATCAAATAATAAAAATTACAGGCAGCTGTCAATGAACCTTAGAAAAAGGACCTTGACAGGCTCCTTCCCGGCCCTCCAGCTCTGCTACTCCTCACCTCCAGTCTCTCAGGCGGAGGCTCGTTCTGCAGGATCCTCAAGGCTTTAGCAGCAGCATCGTGTTTCGCAGCCTGTCTCGTCTTTCCTTTCCCATTGAATTGCTGTCCTCCCACAGAAAGTTCAACTTGATAAAGTAAGGGTGGAACTGGAAATGGGTAAAAGTACCTAAAAATAAAAGGGAGTTAAGAAGATTAGTTTTGAGTTGTTGATAAGTCACCCATACGTTCTCTGGCAAATTCCAAATATTTCCTTCATTATGACCTAATCACATTAACATTCGCTTGCTACAACAAAAAATAATGTATCAATATGTCCAGAAATTTTGTAAAAGTTTTAAAATGAATTCCAATTATTATATAACTAAATACTGGGTGGTAATTCACTCTTCTTTTAATACACAAGGGCTTATAAATTACATTAGTTTAATTTATAATGCTAGCCTATTCTGACAAAATCTAAAACGGATTAGACTTTGGCTGAAACAGAAAGTTAATTTGCTTTGCTTCTGCTTAGATTTTCTCTTGCTTGTCTCCATAGGAAGTCTTTTAGAAAGGACCCTCATTGTGAGATAAGGTGGCTCAGTGGGAGAGCATTCGCCTCACATGCCGAAGGCCCTGGGTTCCATCCCCAGCACAGAAAAAGAAAGGAAGGATTCTCATTTCTAGAAGCCCCACCTGTCCATAACCTTGCAGAGTTTGCTTTCTTGCACTTCAAACTTCTATTTCTAAAATGCAGAAGGAAGGCAGAGAAAGAAATACTTCCATTTTGATCGTCAATGTCTTATGTCTTATTACTTCCAGAGGTTTTCAACATGGGACATTTTCAAATGTCAATATTTTAGTTCACCAAAGCCATTTACAAAACATACAAGTTCAAAAGTCAAAAGATACCAAATAAACAATAATCAAGAAATCTACAAATGCTGAGAATCATGGTGTTGTAGGAATCATGTTCAAATACGATTCAGTTACACAAAGTAGCTACGAGGGTGCTCTCCAGCTAGACTGCTGGGGGCCCAAGAACAGTGCTCATGAGGAATATGATTGGGTTCTTTCCAAAAACAGAAGTTAAAAGAGCACTAAAACAGTTCCAAAGGCACAAGTACCAAATTTATTCTCCACTTGGCGGGCCCAAAGAAGACAAAGTCATTATTCATATAATTCACAGATAATAGTCTGTATAAGAGATCAGATATATTTTTACCTGTATTTTACAAAAGGTCACACATACGTACCTCGGGGGATAAGCACCTCCTCTCATGTTGTAGTTGTAGGTGGACTGCATCCGAGAGTAAGGGTCAACAGGCTTATACATTGGTTTTTTTCCAAGTTTCATGCACAGTGCATTTAGTTGAACAGTAGGAGTTATGCTTTCTGCAACACAGAATCAACACAGAGAACTGGGTTTTTTTTTCCTGACATAAGAATGATGATCACTAAAATAAAAAAGAACAGCATACCTTCTACTAATTATATTCATGATGCATTACAAAAAGGGCCTGAGTACTTCACTGCTAGAATCAGGTCAGGAAATCCAAGAATCTGCTGTGACTTCTCAAGATTAATACACAGGCAACAGCATAAAATATATTTGAAGAGCTATCGGAGAGCACAATAATTTAACCCACTACCAGTAAAAGCCCTACTGTACAGTTGTCAGAAATAAGTTACAATATGCGTCAGTTTTCCCACTTTAAAAACCCTGTTTGGGCTGGGGATACTTGACTCGTATGCACAAGGCCCTGGGTTCAATCCCCAGCACTACCAAAAAAAAAAAAAAAAAGAAAAAGAAAAAAAAAACCTGCTTCACTGTCCAAATTACTTTATAGTTTGAGAATGCTTTACCAATATAAATTTGCTTATTCTGATTTACTATTATTGGCTTACATGCAGAAGTATGTTTGTTCATACCACTTATTTGAATAATGCATTCATTAAATACTAACTGTATGCAAAGCACTGTGCTGAGCTTGAGAGACATACAGGAGAAGGACAATGCAATGGGCAGGCGCCCCAGGTCAAGATCACTGAGGCAACAGCAAGTAAGTTCATCTGGAGAAGCCAGCTTGGGTCCAAACAATATTCAGATGACCTCCATCCTTTATATCACAAGGGGTTTGACTAGTGATCATATCTGTTAGCAAAACGAGATCCACTCTCATTCATCACAGAGCAAGTCTTTACCTCAGAATTTTCATATTTGTCTTTAGAAAATATACACTATTAATTTTTTAATTTGTTCTCTCTGTTCATGCAATTCATAAACTTTCATAAACCATTTAAAAAGAAAATCAGTGGGGTGGATTGGCATATGCCTGTAATCCTAGCAGCTTGGAGGGTGAGGCAGGAGGATCCTTAAGTTCAAAGCCAGCCTTAGCAACTTAGCCAGGCCCTATCTCAAAATAAAAAGGTCTGTGGATGTGCCTCCAGGATATAAGCATCCTAGGCTAAATCCCCATTCAAAAAAAAAAAGAAAGAAAGAAAACCAGCCTGAAAAGGTCAATGACAGTGCACAAGCACATTTTAAAACAATCCTTCAAAAAATAAAAACAAGGCCAGGCGCAGTGGTACATGCCAATAATCCCAGCAACTCAGGAGGCTGAGGCAGAAGGATCAAGAGTTCAAAGCCAGCCTCAGCAAAAGCGAGGTGCTGAGCAACTCAGTGAGACCCTGTCTCTAATAAAAAACAAAACAGAACTGAGGATATGACTCAAGGGTCGAGTGCCCTTGACTTCAATCTCTGGTATTTAAAAAAAAAAGAATTGCTTTATGGGGAAGGGATCTGTGGCTCAGTAGTAGAGAGCTTGCCTAGTATTCATGAGGCCCTAGGTTAGAATCCCAGCCCCGCCCCGCCCCACAGGAAAACAAAGAAAAAATAGACTATTTTGACCAAACTCAGTGCATTAATCAAATTTCTTTGGGGGTGGGGGGCTGTGGTGGGTACTGGGGATTGAACTCAAGGGCACTCGACCACTGAGTAACATCCCCAGCCCTACTTAGTATTTTATCAGAGACAGGGTCTTAATGAGTTGCTTAGCGCCTTGCTGCTGCAGAGAATAGCTTTAAACTTGCACTCCTCCTGCCAAAGCCTCCCAAGCAGTTGGGATTAAAGGCATGAGCCACTGTGCTTGACTTCCAATTTCTAAGAATATCCTTGGGGTCTATACAACCAGAGGGTCACAGTAGTCACCAGCCTTTCATCCTTGTGTTAGAATTCTACTTTATACAAAATCTATATAGTTGCATCTTAAGTTCAGCCTAAATCATTTTAAGAACAGCACAACCCAGAGAATTTACCTGCAGTAGAGAATGAATTCGAAGACTACCATAAAGAAATTAAAGGCAGCCAGGTGCAGTGGTGCACACCTGTAGTCCCAGTGGCTTGGGAGGCTGGGGCAAGAGGGTTGAGAGTTCAAAACCAGTCTCAGCAACTTAGCAAGGCCCTATGCAACTTAGCGAGACCCTGTTTCTTTATTTTTCTTTTTTTGTGGTGCTAGGGATTGAACCCAAGGCCTTGTGCATTCGAGGCAGGCACTCTACCAACTGTTTCTAAAGGGCTGGGATGTGGCTCAGTGGTTAAGCGTCCCTGGGTTCAATCCCTGGTACCAAAAAAAAGGAAAGAAATCAAAGACAAAAAGAAAGGTCTGACTGAGACTTTCCAGACTAGTCCCTGCCTACCCCCAGCCTGGGGAGACTTCATTCATGGGAGGGGACTTTGCCAAAACAGCCACTTCAACCACAGCCTTTGGGTCAGTAGTCCCCAACTTTCCACAGACATAGCCCTTGATTTGTATTGTCCCTGCTTGAGGCCCTTGTTTAAAGAGCTATGACCTCCTACTTATATGTAAGTAAAAATATAAGTTATTTTCAGTTCCTTTTGAACCATCAGGAAACATTACTGACATCAGCGCTTCTGATCAACAGATTATATCAGTATTACACACTGACCTGACATGATCCCACCTAAAGTCCATGTTCTTAATAATCTGTACAACCTTATCAAAGAAAAAAAAATGTACATTCCTTATGCTTTTCTGAAATCTTAGAAATGTTTTGGGGAAGCCTCCTGCCCGTGACCAGCTTAGCAGATCATCAGAAGAGAGACTGTAGACTGAGAAGTGCTGCTTTAGGGGCTGGGGTTGTAGCTCAGTGGCAGAGCACTTGCCTAACATGTGTGAAGCACTAGGTTCAATCCTTAGCACCATATAAAAATAAAACAAATAAAATAAAGGCATGTTGTCTATCTACAACTATAAAATAACAAATAAATAAATAATTAAAAGAACTCTGCTTTAGGGTCAGGATAAGAATTCCTGGGCTGGGGTTGTGGCTCAGTGTTAGAGCACTCGCCAACCACATTTGAGGCCCTGGGTTCAATTCTCAGCACCACATAAAAACAAATGAACAAAATGAAGCAACAGATGGGTGTATGCCACAGTGTAGGATCTGTGCTTTCAAAACCTATAAATTAGTTAAGAAACTATCCACATGCATACCAAAAGGTACTTCCAGACACACTTTGGGAAAGGAACCTGTCTTGGGCCACACATAATACCTATTTTCTTCCTTTGCTATAAAAAGGGCAGGCTATGGGTTTAGAAAAAAATATTTCTTTCAAAGTTCTGACAGCAGCTCCAGTTCAAGCTTGCCTTTTCTTTTTGTATTGGAGATTGAACCCAGAAGGTCTAACCACTGAGCTATATCCCCAGCTCATTTTATCTTTTATTTTGAAGGGTCTCATTAAGTTGCTTAGGACCTCACTACTGCTGAGGCTGGTCTCAAAACTTTCAAGCCTCCCCTGCCTCAGCCTCCTAAATTGCTGGGATTACAGGTATGCGCACCACGCCCTGCTGTGTTGGGCTTTTTTTTAAAAATACTATTTCCTTCAGTTTCCCAGTGCTGATCTCCAAACATTAGCGGTACTAAGATACCAACAAATAAAAAGTATAAGCTCTCAATTCAAGAAATCTGATGTCAGCTGTAACATGTCACCTGGACCTTGAACACATTTTATGGTCATGGCTACAAGGCCTGGTCATTGACTTAGTAATTTATTCTTTTACCCTATTTTCCTTCCTATTGTTTTTATAAGTAGAAAAAGTTTTTCTAGTATCCACTGACTAGAATTGAACAGCACTCCATGAAAATATTATTCTTTGAAAGATGGAGTTAAGCAGAGAGTCCAAAGACTATTTTCTTAAATGTTAATAAACTTTGAACAACTCAGCAAGACCTGTTTCAAAACCTAAAAGAAAGAAAGGACTGGGGAAGTAGCTCAACAGTAAAGCACCCCTGGGTTCAATCCCCAGTACCATAAACAAACAACTAACTATTTGGGAGACATCCAAATAGTGTCTTCCAATTACTTCTCATAGAAGAGATATTGCAAAGTTGATTTAAACATATTAGTATCATACAAATTAAGACAATGTAATGTGTTTGAGGACTCGTCTAAAATGTAAACCCATTAGACAAAAACCTGAAAAAAATCTGGGAATGCCGACAAGGTTCTAAATTGCTGTCCTCTACTCTCCTAAGACTATACTATTCAGACATTGCCTCCACTTTCAGAAGAAAATCAGTCCCACAGCAAGCAAAGACCTGAAAATGTTTCTGAACCCAAATCTAAGGTAAGGCCTTCAAAACAGTTCAATCTGACCTCAATACAGGCCGAGGAAGGCAAGGCTTTCTTCCTTTATAAAGGTGCTCCAAATGCACATCTTCATTCTTAAAATTAGGTTCTATCAATCCCATCACTATTAAACTAATACTCTGTCAAAAAACATCACTGCATAGTGATTCCTTAACTGTGGCTTCACTTGAGGCAGCAGGGGGAAAGCCTGCAAAAGCACAGACACGGGGTCCCACTCCCACGGGGTGCCACTGGGACCAAACAGTAGGAGGGACATCTGGGCTGATGTATTTTCAGTAGGCTCCCAAGTGATTCTGCCTGATACGCCCCAAAAAGGTTTGAGACACTACAAAATTTGGAACTTAACAAAATCAACTGCAGCTTTTATTTTTCTGATTTCCTTTATCACCAGATATCACTTTTCCTTATTTATAAATAATTCACAGAGAAAACACCAGTTTGGCTGTGTCTAGGACATTTAAACTTGGTGCCTAAGGCAATGGGGCTGACTTCACAGATTTTTCTTGCAGGTCTTAACTTCAAGGTTCCCTCAGTGAATCTTGATTCTACTCATAGGAAAATTTAAAGAATTTTTATTTCCATTGAAACATTAGGGGTCTCTCCATACTACAGTTCACTCGGTTACTCACTGAAGTACCAAACAGCATAACTCAAAACCCTGGCTGGCCTAGAAATCCAATAGCAGACGCCCACAATGCAGTGTCATCCCTGGTTCATTTTGGTGATCATTTCATGAAAAGAAGCTGGGAGGGGAAAAATGCTAAAAAACAAAAGCAGTTAACCTCATGAACAGTGAGCTCTGCCAGTCCCCAGGACCCGCCCTCCAGTGTGCTGCCACTCTGCGGCCTTCTATGCAGAAGTCTGGCAGCAAGGTTAGAATCTGGGTTTTGATACTACATCAGACTTCTAATTTTTTAAACACTCTTAACCATCACCAAGGAGAGAAGAACTTCTTTTCTGAACAACTTGTGGATTTAAAAAAAAAAAAAATGCAGTTATAGACAAACATATAATATAGTGAAACTATTTAAGGGGCTAAAGTTCAAGTTAGAAAGTACATGTTCCAAAAAAATACTAAAAATAGTTAGTAAAGGGAATCCCAAAGTTAAGGTCTGCAAAAGAAAAGGAAAAAAATCCTGTAGAAGAAACACAACAGTTACAGAAAATGACTAACTGTCCTCCAAATACAAAGGAACACTTCAAACATAATTCTATGCTTTAGAATAACATTTTAAAACTAGGTGAGTGTGAAACTTCTGTTTTTCTTAAATACATTATTGCTTAATAACAGTAGCTACTATTTACCAAGCATTTGCGAAGAACCAGGCATTGCACTCCATACTTGTTATTTTCACATTTAATTCTCACAACAGACCTAATTGGTAGGTATTATCATCCCCATTTTATAGATGATACTGAGGTTCAAAAAAGTAGCAATGTGTTCAAGGTCACAGAGCTGGTGAGGGTTCAAACCCAGAGCCATCTGACTCCAAAGGCAACTCACCCAGGTATACTGTGGTGCCTATTTACCATGGACCTTGATGTTACTTTCAGTAAAATGAAATCTAACTTCATTCAAGGCCTGAGGTTTGCATGTGAAGAAAAATAAGGCATAATGAAGGAAGTAACTCAACCTTAATATTTTTGCTGCAAGGCCTAGATCAGAAACAGATGGCCCAATTCCTTACCCACACCATATCCCTTTGAACCACTTCCGAAAAAGATAAAGCCAGATATGCCAAAATTAAAGTCTAAAATGAACTTTAGCACAGGCAGCAAATTTTAAGAACCGAAAGCAATAATAATTAGCAAAACTTAAAGCCTTAACCAGTCCTTACTCTCTAAGATTAGGAAAGTGACAAGGATAACTGAAATTACAGACAATCCAAAACACTGAGACCAATTTCTACCTTTCATCATCAAACCTTTGACCTAGATTGCTAACAAGTGGCACACTGCTTTCCCAGCAACACACACACACACACACGCACACGCACACACACACAAGCACACACGCACTACCTCTCCCTGTCTGTCTACGTGCAAACAAACAGGAAAGGAGCCAGAGGACAGCCACAGACAGGAGGCAACCAAGGGCCTGGACAACTCATGGGAAATCAATCACAGCACTTGGGAACGTCTATTCAGAATCCTAAACAACCACACACTATTTGGAGTTTTAAAAGCCAAATATCCCCAAAAGAAGCACATATTTTCTTTGAGTTAATCCACAAGGATGAAAAAAGAGCCAACTCTTCAAAAATCTACATATTTGCATCTGTTGCCTTAACAGTATGAAAACACATTTTAAATCACAGTACCACTTTCAAAAGTAGTAAAAATAAATAAATAAATAAAATTTCCTGGTGGATTACAAATGCATAAGCAGGTGGACAATATTTACCTTACAGTGAGCTGGACCTTGCTCACGCAAAAGCTTACACTCAGGCTGAATCTTGGAGAAACAGGCTAACTCATTCACAAGACACACTGGGGTTTTCTCTTTGGGGTTTGCCACGTCAGAAGGAACTGCAAAATAACGTAAAAGTGCTGAAATCTACTAGGAGTATTCAAGACTGCTATTCCCCCAGGGATATAAAAACAGAGGGAGAACAAACCTAAGAACATCAGCAGCAGTGATGCAAATCTGCAAACAATGCTGGGAGCTCAAACATAGAGAAGACACCACTGAGTTTTTTTCTGAACTAGTTAAAGCCATGTAACCAAGGAGCAGATATGTCTTCCAAAGAGAGAGAACAGCAGTCAGAGGAATTACCAAACCTCAGCAAGCAAGCAACATCTGGAATCTGATGGTGCACTGCTATTGCAGCCCAAAAGACGGGTAGCAAGGAAGTCTTCTGAGCAGAGACAAATTGGTTACCGTGGCAGCTATCAGATGCAGCCTGTTGGTATTTCACCAAATTCAACATGCCAATACCATCTATCAAACAGGTCTGTCATTTTCCACAGACCCGACTTCTCATTCCTGGAGCATCCCTAGTCCTTTCTCCAGAGTCTGCCAACCTCCAATGATCTATTTCTGACAATTACACATATAAAATAAAATGGCCACAGTGGGTAGGAGTTTTACAAAGTCAATAAAATGTGGGTAAAAGAACACATGAAAAGAAAAAGCAATAAACTCCACAGGACTGAACTAGTCTGTGCCTCTTCCTTTTAAGACAGTCATACACAGCAAATCTGGGGAAACAGAGTCTCTAGGGAATGGTGACAAGTCAAGAATGCCATCTGGAGAGGCAGTCCAAGGAATCCTGGAGGTTCTCTGGAAGATGCCATGCATCTGAGTAGGAGAAGCAAAGCTGGAGGAACAGATTTACAAAATAAAGGAAATGAGAGGATAAAGGAGGAAATTCAAGGAAAACTGCCAGGCAATGAGGCAGGGCTGAGGAGACTTTGCTGCAAGGTGACTCCACCTCACTTCTTTAATTGGTCTTGCCACTTTGCAGGGAAAGGGGAGACATAATGTCATTTTTAGGTTTTTTCCCCCCAAGTGTTGAGTCTTTTCTTTAGTTCATTTTCAATTTCCTGATAATCAGATTTAAATGCTTCTAAATATATATACATATATATTCACATATACGTGTATATATACAACATATACTTTTTTTTTTTAAATCTCTGCTTCTTTATTCCATTTCTAATTGGTCCAACTGTGGTTTCTGAACTACCTCTGGAACCTCCCAAATTTAAAGTCACTTGTTCAAAATAAAAATCAACAAATGCCAACGTACTCTTTTGCCTTCCAGTGAATCTGGCTGCCCCTTCCTTGGGATAAAATCCTGTAGCCATACAGGAAGGCTTGCACAAACAAGAATCATCAGTTCTGGGAAATAATTTTAAAAGTAAAATTTCCCATAGAACAATAACTGTCCAAAGTGGTACTTACTGTTCAATTCTTTCTTTCAGCTACCACTTTATAACAGACCAGGCTTTACAGTGTAAGCAGCTTCCAATCATCTTTCTCACAAATTACAAATGGTCTGTCAACATGAGGTTCCATCAACCCCACAACCAGTGTTCTAGATCTGGATACAGAAGCATGGTTGGTTATCTTCTCTTCTGCTCCTTGAAGGTAAATGTGAGCCCTACCTACACCTGCAACCTACTTGACAGATCAGAAAACAAGCTGAGAAAACATTTGAAACAGAAGACACTTGGATTCATACGCTTACCTGCAGCTGCACTGGTGGATGTAATAGATGCAGAGGGTAAAGCAGAGTTTTGAATAGGTCTACCTGCATTTTCAGAGGGCAGAGAGCTAGTAGTAGAAGGAATACTCATCAAAGGCTGTGAGAGAAGAGACTGGTTCTTGTTCAGTATTTGGCTCCCTGAGAGAGCAGCAGATGGGTTCTGAACTTGCACTTGGACTTGAGACATGGTCACTTTCAACAAAAGTGAACAACTGCAGGTAAACAGCTTTCAGTGCAGGTTAATTCAGTGCTATGAAGTCTAAAGTTCTACCTAAAAGTTGTAAGGGAAAGAAAATAAAAAGGTAAATTATAGAGGAGATATGTAATTCAGTCAAAATCGGTGTTACCTACTTAATTATGAAAATAGTCCCATTTAGCATGTAGCTATGTCGATTTACTAGAAATGTTTCTCCATGGTATACATCAAGTTGTCTCGCCTTGTGTGTCCTACAGTGTTTTTAGAATGATTTCTAATACCCACATGTCCTGCATGTTCATTTCACAGAGAGGCAATAGGGTTGAGTACTTATTGTTGAATACTGGGAATTGCAAACTACAGCCTACACTCAAAAATACAAATTTAAAAGCATGGAGAGGTTTGTTTTGCTTTGTTTTTATAGTATATGGGTATAGTAAAGGTTTTTGGTCTCAAAATTATGAGAAACTGGAAGCAAGCTGGGTTAGTAACACCATCACCAGATTAATATAAACACTGCTTCCGTCTAAGGTCCGTAGGCTCAGACTGGTACTCTTGGAGTATTTCCTTTATTTGACTAAAAGAAGGAAGGAAGTTCTCACTTTTGCTGTTTCTTTTTTCTTATGATGATAGAAGACATATCTGTTTTCCTAATCTGTTTGTATCAGGTGGTCTCATTTTATTATAGACCTTAAACCAGAAAACTGCTGCACCCACAAGGAATGATTAGAATAGCAAAGACCATTCCATAATATTTGAAGTGTTACAGGTGAAAGTGAAGAAGATGCAGAGGAGAGAGGTGGACTTCAGACTGCTGGTGCTGCTCCTGGGGCCAGGGGTGGCGCACATGGGAGACTGTTCACTTTGTGTTTTTAAGTTAGAAGGGCTGCAAAGACATCATTACACGTGCATGTAAATTTCTTCACAAATCAAAAACAGGAACAGTCTCCTTACAGTCACCTCCATCCTTCAAAAAGCTGAAAACTGTTTTAAGCAAGTCACAAATAACCAGTGTAGCAACAAAGACTAGAAATAACAGATCTCTCAGGAAAACAGCCAACCAAAGCCAAGCCAACACACTGACTAACTAGAAGTTCTATTACAACATGATTGCTTGTTACTTTAACTTTTTAAAAAGTTTCAAAATGATTTTTAAAGCCAGACACCTAGAAAAAGATCAATGAGCAGAGCAAATAAGTTACTACAGGAGTCCTGCCACATATTCTCTTGCCCAGGAACAAAAAAGACTACAAAACCCAAAAGAAACTCAGCTGCAATGTGACTTGGGATGGCAAGGCAAAGCACAACCTCATTTACCAAAATCCCCAGCAGTGCTGCTGTTTCAAAAGTTCCTTACTTTTGGAATCAGAACAAAACAACAGAGGCGGTCCATTGACCATCTAGATAATAGTCTTAGCAGACAAGTTGCCAGTGTCGAGAAACAAGTCCAGAATGGTTTTTAAGAAAGCCATGATCTTGTTTCATTTTTTTCCTTCAGCTGCCAAAATAAGAAATACCTCACTTCCCCACTCAATCTCCCTCCCCACTGTCTAGAGAGCACTATTTAACAACAAGAACAACAAAATCACTTACAGTGTACACACAACTTCGTGATACTGAGAATAAGTCACAAGGTCAGAAAATAAGCCAAGAATCTACCCCCATCCCAGAAGGAGCAACAACTCTACCCTGGGTCTAAGACTCTGAATGAACACCTAAAATTAGAAAGGGTGGGGCCCAAAGGGATCCTTTCTGGCTAATGCTGTCTAAAGCAGGCCCTGTGCCAGCATTTCCAGTTACAGTCATAAATACGTGGGGTTTCCAGAAGTTAAGAAACTGCCCCCAAAATGTTCACCTCAAGTCATCTGGAGGAGACGGCTAACAACTGGTTGAAACAAGTAGTTAAAAACTACTAATAAAAAAATGCTTAAATTCTCCAATGAGATGGTACTTAATAAATTTTAAACTTCTAATAAGATCAACATTAAATTTTACCAAGCAGTAGGCTGAGGTGTAGCTCAGTGGAAGAGTGCTTGCCTAGCATGCGGGAGGCCCTGGATTCAATCCCTAACTCTGCAAAAACTAAAGTAAAATTCATCAAGCACTACTCACTTGACAATAAAACTTTAGTCAATTGCTCATTTAACACTTAAATGTGACTCATTTAAGCCTGAAAAGAAAATGTATAGCAGTGGTTCTCAAGGAGACAATCCTGTCCACTCAGGGGAACATCTGCCAATGCCTGAAGATATTCTTTGGTTGTCACTATCTCTGTGTAAAGGGGCCAGAGACACCAGGATAAACCTTGTAGTTATGAATGGGGAAAATAATAATAATAAATAAAGCTTACTTACAGTAATTCAAAGAACAAACAAAGCTTTAGCTATTGCTATTTATAAAGTTCACGGCAGCCTTCAGGGAATCATGGCTATTTGGGGCCACTGCTTCTGCATAAACTGTGAATGGGTTGCTTACCCGTACTTTGTCCTGAGGATTACATCCTTAAATGAAAACGTCAGTCTCTTCCTTTAAATGTCCATGAGGACTGTTTCCACCAGATAAATTAAAGACTCACTCAAGAGATCAAAATGCTTTATTAAAAGTCTTCTTAGAGCCAGGCACAGTGGCTCAGCATTGTAATCTCAGCAGCTCAGGAGGGTGAGACAGGAGGATGAGAGTTCAAAGCCTGCCTCAGGAAAACTAAGGTCCTAAGGAACTCAGTGAGACCCTGTCTTTAAAAAAATACAAAATAGGGCTGAGGATGTGGCTCAGTAGTTGAGTTCCCCTGAATTCAATCCCCAGTACCCTCCCCACCAAAAAGGAATCTTAGAGAAGAACAATATTTTATACATAGTAAAATGAAGTTGAAAAGTTTGAAATACAAAGATCCTTCAGTCCTGGCTGGAAACGCTTTTGCCTGTGAAGCCTGTGCTGTCGCTCCTGCCTCCCACACAGCCAGGTCATTTCTGTCCTGTTTGAAGGGCTTTATCCACCAGCTCAGGAAAACTTCCTCTCAGTCCTATGTTTATGGAGCATACATGAGCACCACAACACAAAAAGGGGAGAAACGATGGAGTTGTAGGTGTTTCCTTGAAAAGACTCCTTAATTCCAAAACTGTCCTCCCACTACCCAGACAAATACCGTCTCACCTTAGGTGGCAGCTATCACTTCACAAGTGTCAAGAACTTTCTGTAGGTTATAAGGAAGGGGGACATTGGCCTGTGATCCCTATGAAAGCCACCCCTCCCTGTTTTAAATTACACATGAAGTGGCCGGCAAGATGGCACACACCTGTAATCCCAGCTGCTAGGGAGGCTGAGGCAGGAGGATCGCAAATTCAAAACCAGCCTCAGCAATGGTGAGGTGCTAAGCAACTAAGTGAGACCCTGACGCTAATAAAATACAAAATAGGGCTTGGGATGTGGCTCAGTGGTCGAGTGCCCCTGAGTTCAATCCCCAGTACCCAAAATATAAAAATTAAAAAATAAATTACACATGATATGCTTAAAAGGCACCAGAAGCCTCACTTAGCAGAAATCCACAATCACTAGAACATATTGAGCACAAAGTCCTAGTGATTCAATACAGAAGAAGGCAGAGTAGATCCATTTAGAAACAGTTTTTATAAAACTATCTGCAATAGTGCTTAGTCTTACTGTCAAGTAACAAACTATAAAATCTTCATAGTATAACTAATTAAGCATTTCCATTAACCAGTTTTAACTGAATTAACATGACTTATAATGTTGTTGCTCCACTTTTATGTAATCAACATGTCATTCTCCTTTGTAATAAGTGATTTTTTTTAAAAAAATAGAGAAAGAAAAGGAACAAAAAAAGAAGGTATCTCAATTCTGGGCAAACTTCCTTTTAAGATTACCACAAACATTTCACCCGCTGCAAGTCCTTCAGTAAATCTCATGTAACATGAGACACAGATACAAAGGAGCGCTCCAGTTCTTTACCATGATGAAACATCAACAGGCTGGGGTGTAACTCAGAAGTGCCTGCCTGGCATGCACAGTTGACTCTCTGGACTCCAGCCCCAGTATGGGAGAGGATGAGAGCATTAATAATACCAATTGCAATTTTAGAACAAATTCATTCAATATTCAACAAAAATTTATTAACCATCTACTACATGTGAATCCATAAATGGCAAAGTGAACATTCCCAAGTGCTGAAAAGAACCTATTTACAACTTTCTTGTAAAACAAAGAAATGCTTTCTCAATATCAACACAAATGGAATGTCTCACAAATCTGTGTGTCATCCTTGTACAGGGCCAGTTAATCTCAGTATCACTCCAATTTTAGTATCTGTTGTGGAAGCAAGCACTACTTGTTAAACTTTCTATCAAAGACACAAGAAGAGATCTTTAAAGAACCAAGTATAAATTCATTATTCTTTTTAGTGGTTTTTTATGTTGGGGGGGGGGGTGCTGGGGATTGAACCCAGGGCTTTGTGCATGCAAGGCAAGCACTCTACTGACTGAGCTATATTCCCAATGCCTTTAGTTTTTGAGAGACTCGATCCCCAGAGAAATTTGGTCACTTTTCCTACAATATAAAATCCTTTTCAAAACCCTTGAAATACACCTAAAATGCCTAATCATTCCATACATCCAAGAGTTACTTCCAAGATCATTTTCAGACCCATTTTTCTAACCACAATGTGACTATATAGGTTTTCTGTAAGTAAGCTCACTCCCCTCCACTGCTTCCCTCTATCCCACCCACCTCCCCAAGAAATATTCTTTCGCTCCAAACATTATCCAAACATCTACATTGAGTACAGCCACAAGTATAAATACATGGCAGCCACTATCATCCTACATAATCATTTTCAAAATGACAGCTTTAAGGTCAATGTCAAGCACATGAAATTACAAAATAATAAAAAGTTATTTAAAAGAAATATGGCCAAACTACTAAAAAAAAGGGGGGGGGGGACCACTATGTACTTGATGCTCAAGAGAAAGACACAGGAGAATTATTCCTGAGGAGTGACTCTCACTTGGAAGAC